AGAGAGAGAGAGAGAGAGAGAGAGAGAGAGAGAGAGAGAGAGAGAGAGACTGAATAGCAAAATTGACATATGGGTCAAATTGCGGCCGCGATCTATTTTGCAGTTGGAATGATTTTCTTAAATTTATTTAGCGTTTTTCCTGGAAAGATCACAACAAAATCTACGAGTACTCCAATTTTCAGGTTTTTTCACGCATTCTTCTGAGCGTGAAAGCTCACTGAATTTGGAGTACTTTTTTAGTTGGCCCAGGCATGGCTGAGTGGCAAAAATGGAAAATGTGCTGAATCAGCGCGACGATTATTTCACAGTGTAAATGATTTTTTGTAAATGTTCTACTATTATTTCTGGAAACAACACGACCTCATCTACGGATTCTCAAAATTTCAGATTTTTTGGCATGTTCGTCTGAGCACAGAAAATAGCCAAAGTTGGCTCTTGCAAAACGCCTATTTCGTTGTGCATGACCTCCCTGTTTTGAGAAGACGGGGCTCAATGCCTGGGCCTGAGGGCCCTTTTGCAGTTCACATGCCCACACTTTTTTTTGGGGTCCGCTTCTACCCGGGGACCGGTCCAACGCCCCCCACTTCTTTTTGGGGTCCACTTCCACCCGAGGACCGGTCCTTCCTTTTTCCAAAAGTCCCGATTCTAGAAGAGCTAGCTATAGGCAGTCCGCAATTTTGCCAAGGACCGGTCCCCAAAAAAGATTTGTCCCCTAAAAACCCACTTTGCGTCCTGGTCGCCCGCCACTGAAAATGCGACACCTTGACATAGACGCGGAAGCACACTATACCGCAGCCTTAGGGCTGCGAACTGGTGAAATGCCAGCAACGTCCAGCGTTGGCACCATCGCATGCCATTGCCATGGCACTGCCCGCCATAGCGTATGGCACAGGTTAGCAGCCCATGCCATTGCATAGCAAACCACAGGTTCGAAGCGCGGGCAGAAGTTGGGACCATGGTACGGGACCTCCTCCCATAGCATAACGCAGGTTAGCATCCGCTGTCATAGGCCCATAGCATAGCATGGCACAGGTTAGCAGCCCGCGAGCAGAAAAAAGAATTGTCTACCGCGTGGGCGCAGGGAACGCAGCCCTAAGGTAGCCAAATCAATGAGACTACGAGCTCGCACAAGAGAGAGAGAGAGAGAGAGAGAGAGAGAGAGAGAGAGAGAGAGAGAGAGAGAGAGAGAGAGAGAGAGAGAGAGAGAGAGAGAG